GGGGTAGGGGTGGGGGTGGGGGGGCAGGCCCCTCCCACATCCACTCCCTAGAATCCCACCCCAGAGGCCCTGCTGCTGCCAGTCCCAAGAAGATTTGGGGATGCTTTCAGCTGCAAGTAATAGAAACCCTCAAGAAACAGTCACTTAAACTAGAGTTTCCCCATCGGCACTGTGGACACTGGGCCAGGTCATTCTCAGTTTGTTCATCCACATACCGCACTGTCTTGGGGTGCGTGTTGGTCTAGAGTTGTCACCAAGCCCCACACATGGGATGACTGAAACAGCAGATATTTATGCTCCCGGTTCTGGAGGCCAGAAATCCAAGATCAACGTGCCAGGGCTGGTGTCCCCCCTAGATCCTGGGGCAGGGTCCCTCCTGCCTCCCTCAGCTTCTGGGGACTCCCTGCAGCCCTCGCAGTTTCTTGGCTTCTGGCTGTGTCACTCGAGTGCCTCCATCCTCACATGGTCCTCTCTGTCTCTGTCTTTTCTCCTATGAGGACCACTGTGGCCCTGGTAGGATGGGGGGGGGGGGACAAGGGAGGCCCGGAGGTGTCATTCTTGTGACAGCCCTGGCTTCGGTTCCAGGAACAGTGCTGAATTCCTTTAATTTTCTGTCTTCCTGGGTTTGTTTCCCAGTGGGTTGAAACCAGGTCATCTCTTGGTTTTGAGAACTCAGAGAAGCCTCTGGAGCAGTCATCCAGGGGTGACTTTGCCCCCAGGGAACACTGGGTGATGTGTGGGGACATCTGTGGTTGTCACAACTCGGGGAGCTCCTGGCATCAAGTGGGTGGGGCCGTTCAGCACCCCACAGTGCCCCCACAGAGACGACCAGTTCTGTTGTAAGCAGTGGGGCGATGGGGAAGCCCTGCCCTAAGGGCTGGTCAGGATTTCATACTTCTAGGAGCCCATGTCCTCCTTGCCGGGGACCTGGACATACCTGCCAATGCTAACACCTCTGCTCCCCCCTCCACCCCCCAACCAGGTATAATCTTCTGTTCTTTGCCTCCGGAGGGGGAAAGTTTAACTACCAGGGGACCAAGCGCTGGTTAGAAGACAACCTAGATCACACAGGTCGGTGTCCCCCAGCTGGCCTGGGTCGTGGGGTCAGGGGCCTCAGAGGGGTGAGGGCCCCCGGTTTTTGCCTTCCCTCCGTTAGCTCCTGTTTCCACAGATTCCAGCTTGCTCCAGGACAATGTGGCTTTCGTCCTCTGCCTGGACACTGTGGGCCGGGGGAACAGCCTGCACCTGCATGTGTCCAAGCCGCCCAGGGAGGGGACACTGCAGCATGCCTTCCTGCGGGAGCTGGAGATGGTAGGTGCCCCTGGAGGCGAGGGAGCCTGACCCAGGGCCAGGCCCGTGCCTGTTTCACAGACAGGCCCCTGGTATTCCATTGTCCAGGCGTCAGACCAGGTGCTTTGCAAACCCTGGGGCCTAGAGTGAGCCTCGGTTGGGATTCTGGGGAGCACGTGGATTTCTCCCCATTTTTAGATGTGGGTGGTTTGGGGCGAGACTTGGGACCCTCTGTGCTCTCGGCCCTTTGTGGACATCTGTGGAGTGAGGTGGGTGGAAAGGGGCCCTCCGCAGCCTGTCAGAGTGTGGCTGGGCCTGCATGGCTGTGGGTGGTCTCTGACAGTGCCTTCCCCTGCAGGTGGCTGCTCACCAGTTCCCGGAGGTGCGCTTTTCCATGGTACACAAGAAGATCAACCTGGCGGAGGACATCCTGGCCTGGGAGCATGAGCGCTTTGCCATCCGCCGGCTGCCCGCGTTCACCCTGTCCCACCTAGAGAGCCACCGTGACGGCCAGCGCAGCAGCATCATGGATGTGCGGTTAGCGAGACCCCCTACGGCCTGCAGCCGTCTCCCCACCCACTGGGCCCTGCAAACAAGCATGTCCTAAATCGTTTTTTCCACAGTGGGGGGCTAGCGGTGGGCATGGCGCCTGGAGGCAAGGAAGCCGCCCTGTGTCTGGTGGGTGAGGGGCCGGAGTGAGCCTGGCAGCATGGGAAACACAAAGGAGGGTGGCTTACCTGGATTCAATCAATAGGGGGTGCTGGGGCAGGGAGGACACAGTGAGTGGCCTGGGGTTCTCCGGCCCCTGTTCATGAACCCTAGACCCTGAGCACCTCAGTTTACCATGTGGCTCCTGCCTTTCCACGGTCTTTCCACGGCCATGCCACGGCCTGGAGAGCTGTGCTGTCTCCCTGGGCCCTGGTGCCTCCTTGGGAGCCCTCCCCACCCACTCTTTCCTCACTTTCTCTCTCTGACGCTGGGAGTCTCTGGCCTTTGCCGTTTTAGGACCTCACATCCCCCTAGCCTCCCCTGGTGGCATGACAGCCCTCAGTGGGGCTGGGGTTTTATGGTGTTGTCGGCTGCCAAACCCTGAGCCTGGGAGAGCCTGTGCCCTTTCATTGGCCAACCCAGGGCATCAGCCTGGCTACTGGACATGCGTCTACTGGGGAGATGAGAAGGTGGTCCTTGAGGGCCCCAGCCCGGCCTGGTGACAGGCAAAGTCTAGAGAGAGAACAGGCACAGGAGGGGCATTTGGCTGGTCCTAGGGCATCAGGAATGCATCCTGGAGGGCTTCTTAGAGGAAGTGGCACTGAAGCTGAGGTACCTGAGCTAGAAGGGCATTCTAGGTCAGAGGGAACTGAGAGCAAGGGAGAGTTGGAGGGAAGGAGGCACAGGGCCCAGAGAGTGAGCCTGGCCACCCCCCACACTCACCCCTCCCCAGGAGGCCCCAGTATCTTACACCCACTTGGATCAGTGACGTTTTGCCCCCAAAGTTCCTCTTTTTGGGTTTGTGTTGCCAGCAATTCTTGGTGTCCCTTGATCCATGGCCGTATCACTTGTCTCTGCCTCTGTTGTCACATGATTATCTGTGTCCAAATTACCCTCTTATAAGGCCACCAGCCATTGGATTAGGGCCATCCTACTCTAGTGTGACATCATCCTAACTAGTCACATCTGCAGAGACCCTACTCCAAATCAGGTCATGTTTCCAGGTTCGGGCAGTGTGAATTTGTGGGGACACTACACCCCATTACTGGATGTTACATTGACTCTGCTCTCAACAACCTGTGGAGGCACGTGCCCTGACCACCCCCATCCCATGTTCAAGATGAGGAAACTGAGGCCCAGAGGGGTCCAGTCACTTGAGGCAGACACAGGGAGCCAGGCCCACTTCCCTGCACCCCTGAGGGCGTTGGACAGTCTTGCAAGGAGGGCAGGGCCCCCATTTTAAAGATGAATCTGAGGTACAGAAAGGTGCTCGCCCTGCCTGAGGAGGCTGTGGCTTTACTTGTTTTTGTTATTGGATATGCGATTGCTCTTGCTTTTTGGTGACTATCAGTGATGCTGATTCCAAATATATATAGATTTTTTTTTCAAACCTGCCCTTGAAGGTCCCGGGTTGACTCTAAAACCCTGACCCGCAACACGAGGCTCATCGCAGAGGCCCTGACTCGAGTCATCTACAACCTGACCGAGAAGGTGAGACCCTCACCGTGGTTGCAAGTCCCCCGCCTCGGTGTGCCAGGTGGGCCTGGACTCAGGGCCTGTACCTTCCTCTGTCTGCAGGGGACACCCCCGGACATGCCAGTCTTCATGGAGCAGATGGTAACTGCTGGGCTGGAAGGGCAAGGGTCCCGGGTTAGTGGGGGGCAGGGGTCCTGTGACCATGGCCACGTCCCTCGCAGCAGATCCAACAGGAACAGCTGGACTCAGTGATGGACTGGCTCACCAATCAGCCCCGTGCTGCCCAGCTGGTGGACAAGGATGGCACGTTCCTCAACACACTGGAGCACTACCTGAGCCGCTACCTGAAGGAGGTGAAGCAGCACCACATCAAGGCCGACAAACGGTGAGGCGCAGATGGCCCCCACCCCGTCTCGGATGGAACAGTGTAGCCTGCCAGTGAGCAGGCTCTTCTGGAGTCTCTCCTTACCCCAGGGTGCCAGGTGGAGCAAATATAAAGTACTGGGTGAAAAATACAATAACTAGAAAGTACAGGGTGCCCAGTTAAATTTGAGTTCCAGGTAAGCACCAGTTATCTTTTAGTATAAGTATATCCCATGCAATGTTTGGTTGGGGTATACTTACCCTAAGAGCCTATTCCTTGTTTATCTGAAATCCACATAGAACTCACTGATGTCCTGTGTGTTTTTGGTTTTTTTTAAAGCTTTTTATTGGGGAATTGGGGGATAGGCATAGCGCTGGGGAATTGGGGGAAGGGGAACAGACAAGTTGCTGTCCTTTTGTTCTTCAATCTAGTTGTGGAGGACGTTGCTTCACTGGCCCAAGTTGGCACCATCATTGCGCTCTTCCCGGGCAAGGCAGATCAGTTGCCGGCTTCTGGACGGCGGCTCACGCTGGCTGCTGGCTACACACGGTAGCCCATGGCAGCCCACTGCAGCAGGGGCTACAGCCTATGCTGTCACCGACTCACAGCAGCCCAACTCCAGATTGAGCTGTTTGTTCAGCATCTTAGCTGTAGAGGGCAGTGTCACTGGCCCTCATATGTGGGATCCGAACCGGGGCCCTCGGGTGTCCCAAGCCAGTTCTTAACCAACGCGCCACTCGGCCGGCCCCTGATGTTCTGTGTTTTATCTGGCAGCCCTATGCCCCCATCCATTCTCTTGTCCTTGTGTGCTTTGGGAATCAGTCAGTGGCTTGACCCAGGTCTCTGTCTACCCTTGGGGTGCTTCTCCCCACCATGGCCCCCCTGGGTTTCGTCTTTTTTTCTGCTGAAGGCTCCCACACTTCCCAGCTGGGCTGAGGAGGCCCCACAGGGCCTGTGGTAGAAGGGGCGCCTGTGGGCGTCCATGGACAGAAGACGTCCTGCAGACTGCTCGGTGCCCTCACTTGGCCTCCACCTTTGTCCGAACTCATGGCGTGCCTATGAGACAGCACTTAGAAGAAACTGAGACTCAGAGTGGACCCATAGCCGTGGAGCCTGGGTCTCTGATTCCCAGGCCATGGTCACCCTCCCTCTATAGAAATGCTTCCTAGACCAGTAAAATTTCTAGTCACTGTGTTTCTTTCTTTTTTTTTTTTTAATTAGGGAATTGGGGGAGGGGACCAGCCAAGTTGTTGTTCTTCAATCTTAGTTGTGGAAGGCGCCAGTCACCATCTGGCTGCCTGTTGGCAGCTTGTGGCCTCTAAGCTCAAGGTGCTGAGTTCAGTCTTAGTTGCAGGTGGGCAACGCCACTATCCCATGAGGGAGTTGAACCGGCAGCCTTGTTAAGAGCGCATGCTCTATCCACTGAGCCATCCGGTGGCAGCTCAGCTCAAGGTGCCATGTTCAGTCTTAGTTGTGGGCGGGCATAGCCCACCATTGAACAGGCAGTCTTGTTGCTAGGAGCACGTGCTCTCACCAGCTGAGCCATCCTGCCTCCTGTTGGCAGCTCAGTGGCAGCTCAGCTTGGGCACAGCATCACTGGCCCATGGGGGAATCAAACTGGCGGCTCTGTTGCTCAGAGCTCATGCTCTTAAGCTAACTCTTAACCAACTGAACCACTCGGCCGGCCCTCATGTTTCATTTTTAAAGAACACGTTTTAACACCCCAAATAATAGGAAAGATGTTACTTCAGAATAAAGCACAGTCCTTCTGCAGGGGGGACAGTGGCAGCCTCAAACAGACACACACGGGGTGCTCCCTGCCATGTTCCTGGGCTGGTGGGACCTCCAGGTGGTTTGGCATCTGGAGACCAGATGTGGCCCGGCTTCAGGCTGAGCCCACTGAGAATGCACTCTCTCCCCAGGGACCCCGAGTTTGTCTTCTATGACCAGCTGAAGCAAGTGATGAATGCTTACAGGTGAGCTGCTGTGGTCCACAAGTGGGAGGCTGGCACCACCCCCCTGTTCGCTGACCCCGAGGCCCATGCCCTCCCCTGATCCTCACCTTCTCACCTCCAGGGTCAAGCCGGCCATTTTCGACCTGCTCCTGGCTGTTTGCATCGGCGCCTACCTTGGGATGGCCTACACAGCGGTCCAGGTGAGAGGGCAGGGCTCAGGTAGGAGGGTGGGCTGGCCAGATGAGTCCTGCCTAGATGCAGGTGACCCCACAGGTGGCCTGGGGCCTTTCACGGTGGGGTTTGTCACCAATGTCACTCATGACCTTACTTGCGCCCTCCTGCTGTTCCCAGCACTTCGATCTCCTATACAAAACAGTTCAGAGACTGCTTCTGAAGGCCAAGACGCAGTGACATGGCCGAGCCAGCACTGGGGGCCCCGCCAGCTGCTCTCACAATGCACGGTCAGCGGGGCTCGCTCTGCAACGATATCCCAAATTACAGAGCTTTTCTGTATTGCTCTTGAGGATTTGGGGAATTCTTTCTCTTTTTTGTCCTTGGAACTCCCTTGGAGGAGCATTGGGTGGAGTCCTGGGGCCAGACCACCGACTTGGGAACAAGCTGTGGATGAGTCCCTGGCCCAGGGGTCGGCCCTGCAGTCTGCAGGGTACTAAGCCAGTGTGGATGGAAGGAAACTCGCCTGGCACAGCCCAGAGGTCTGTGCCTGTGCTCCCCGCTGTTCCCATCCCCCTTGGTGACTCGGATACTCACTTCCTGTTTGTCTGAAGAGGGCAGCGCCAGCCTCTGGGTCCCCGGGTTGCAGTTTCTCTCCCGGAAGCCTTGTGTGCCCCACTCAGGCCAGGGCTGAAGGAATGCATCTTCCCTGAACCCCCGTTGGATGGCTGATGACCTGAAGACCCGGCAGCGTCCCTCACTCCACCTCCCTGTCCGGTCCCTCGTCGCTTCCCGTCACTGGAGCCTATGGTGCCTCTGCTGCCTTTTGCTGTGCCCCAAGGCTGCCTTTTCTGGGCTCCCAACCCCTGGCCCTCAAGGGGGAACCTGGTGCCTGCAGAGGCCCCCGGGCTGGAAGCAGTCCTAGAGGAGGCCCTGTAGGAGAGGCCCCCTGCTGGAGACCTACTGGCCTCAGCTAACTTGCTTCTTTGCCTGGCTCCCTGGGCCTGTTTCCTCATCTGTGAAAAAGAGAATGGAGTGTCCTGGGGGAGCAACATCCATGTTGGGGGTGTCAAGCGGGAGCTTGCTGGAGAGACATGACTGTGGGACCCAGAGGGGGAAGGTTGGGCTCCGTGGGGGCCTTGACCGAGCCCTCACTCCACAAACTGGGCACCTTGTGGGGTGTGAGCTCAAGAGGTGGGGAGGAGGCCTCCAGTGCTGGATGGACCTCAGGGAGTTCCAGGTGTACTAATTCATGAGCAATATAATCAATTAAGCGTTAAGTGCTAAGGGGAGGGCCAGGATAAAGGAGAAGGGGCTCCAAGCACCCAGGCACTGTCTCCACGGCTACCAGGGAGGTCTGAGCGGCTGGAAGGGACAGGAGGACTGACCCTCCCAAACCCTGCCCAGCCTGCCGCCGCCCCCTCCCTGAAGCCAGATAGCTGGAGGGACTGGGTTCTTCTGGGGACTGTGTCTCCGCCCTGCCCGGTGATTCCCCCAGAAACTGTTTACGGAATGCCCGGTCCCTCTGGGTCCTCATGCCATGGGGGACGGGAGTATGACAGCGGTGGGTGTGCTATCTGGGGTTGCCGAGCGAGCATCTTCCCTCCCCCAGAGCAGCTCATCAGGACCACTGACCGTTCAGAGCTCAGGCTGATTGTGGGACAGTTGGACGATCAGAAAATAAAGCCATATCGAACAATCAGCTTCACGTGTCCTATCCAGCGGCTCCTGGGTGTGTGGGCAGAACTGGTTTCTTCTGAAGCCGTGAGGGGGTCTGTCCTGTGATCTCGCGACTTCTGGCACTCCTTGGCTTGTGGACGCATGGCTCCTGTCTGTCCCTGCCTTCACATGGTGTCTTCTCTGTGTGTGTGTCTCTAATAAGGACACTGGTCATTGCATTAGGGTCCAACCTACTCCAGTACAACCTCATCTCAACTAATTACATCTGTAAAGACCCTCTTGCCAAATATTTGATTCTGAGGTTCCTAGGGAAGATGAATTTGAGGGATATCATTCAACTCGGTATGGGGGTGTGGAGAGCAACAGGCTGTGGAGAGGCCAGGCCCATCTTCAGCCCCAAATCAGGATCCCGGAGATCCGTTGGGGCATGGCCCCTGGGATGCTCAGTGCAACTAGCCACTCCGGGTTTTGTGGGGTCACGTTCTCTGCTCCAGGCCTGGGAGCTCCCGAGGTTCTGCATGGTCCGCCCAGTTCTCTGTCATCCCACAAACATCAATTGAGCATCTGTGCTGGGCTGTAAGATTTAGCTGTGAACAAAGAAAAGTCTGCCTTCAGGAGCTTGTGTTCTGGGGAACGGGTGAAGACAGACAAAATATGGTCTTAGAGATGTGTGCTGTGGGGAAAATTAAGCAGCGAGGGAGGCAGAGTGCACTGGGAGATGCAACCTAGGGGCACTGGGGGCAGATCCGAGGAAATGAATGGTGAGATCTTTGACCCTGAGGGAGGTGGCAGCCCTGGAGGGCTATGGGCAGAGCAGGGACAGGACCTGACTTGGGTGCTCACAGGTGCTCTCTGGTGGCTGCTAAGGGGAAGACACAGAAAGGACGAGAGACAGGTGACCAGGGTGGAGGGGACTGCTGGTGCTGGTGTGAGTTGATGGGCTGGACCAGGGGTCAGCAAACTGCGGCTTGCGAGCCACATGCGGTTGTTTGGGTACGTTCCATCTCAAAAGTTTGCCGACCCCTGGAAGAGCCAATCCTGTCCTTCACAACAATTTAAAAATTATTCGAGAGCCATAAATATATTTTTACAAATAAGGAAAATTTAAAGTAATATTACAAATGAAACTATTATGGTTTTATTTTCATTTTCAATTTTACTTCAGAGCCACATGCACGTACCCAAAGAGTCACATGTGGCGCACGAGTCACATGTGGCTCGCAAGCCAGTTTGCCGACCCTTGGTGGCTTTTCCATCTCGAAAGTTTGCCGACCCCTGGGCTGGACCAAGTGGAGGCCAACAAAGGGGATGCAGTGGACAGATTCCCAAGGGCAGTGGCTGGGTTCCCAGAGCACTGAGGAGGGCCTAAAAAGGTGATTCTGGAACCCATATGTGAGCTGGACCCAGAGGGGAGACTGCTCCTGGGTTTCCTTAGCCTATTCCTAGGGTCACAGCTGCCTCTTTTCCCTTTCTGTACTCTGCCTCCCCCGACCCCCCACACCCTGCCCCGCCCAGCTCAGGCTGGAAGGTGTCTTTGGCTCCAGCATGGACTCAGGTAAAACTCCCGACGTTTTAGAGGAAAGGCCAGCCTGCCTTCTCACATTAACCTAGGCTGATATTCCTTTTTTTTACACAAAAAGTTCCTTTGACTGTAACCAAGAAAACAAAAGCCACCAGCAGCCATCAACACGCCCGAGTGTTTTCATCCTGTTTCCCAGTGTATGTGGATATATGTACATGCAATCTCAGTTTGAAAATAGGACTCATAAAAATTTTAAAGTATTTCTCTTTACACAGCTCCTTGTAGGCGTGAGGGACATACAGTGAGAGGCGCACCCGTGAAGCCCTCACAATACCGAGGTGGTGAACGTTTCTGTGCTCCCCTTTGCAACCTCTCCCTGTGCCCTCCTTGTCCCCAGGCAACCGCTGGCCATGCCCTACAGATCAGTGGCATTCAACTGTGAAGTCAACCAATATTTACCTCCCTGCTGTGTGCTGAAAATGAGAGACCCTATCCCAGCCACCCTGGGGCTCCATGTCCACTGGGGAAGACAGGTAACAAGTTGAAATAGCTGGGGGGTGGACAGTGATGGCTCCCCAAGGAGGGGGCTTTTGAGCGAAATCAGAATGACAAGGATTAAGCCATGGAATCCAGGCCCGTGGTCCAGACAGGCCACAACCTGTGCAAAAATCCCTGGGGCAGGACTGTGCTTGGCGTGTTGAAGGAGCAGCGAGGAGGCTTATGTGGCTGGAGCAGAGTGAGCCAGCAGGAGAAAGGGAGGCAGTGTCAGGCCACTTGAAGGGGCCTTGGTGAGCTGTTCGCATTTTATTCTCAATGTGATGGGTAACTGGGGAAGGGGTGGCCCAAGGAGAGGAGGATGTGGCCGGACCTGCATTTGGAAAGGTCACTGGCTCATCAGAGATGATTATGAAGATGAAGTAAAATCAGGTTGCTCGTTCTGTGGGCTCCCTTGGTAACCATGAACATCACCTGAGGTCCCCATCAGCCCTGGGTGGCAGCAAACGGTTTGGGCAAAGATGTCCTTTAAAGAGGTACTGCATCCTCCACCAGGACCCCAAAGGGGTCCCATCCAGTGGCTTTGACCTTTTCCAAGGGGGTCTTTGTTTTAAGACAATAAAACACAAGCTATTGTCTGTTGTAACTACCTTGGTCTCTCTCCCTTTTGCCCAGAGGCATCATCAACTGCCTGTATCCTTTTCATTCTTTAAAACAATTGTTACATACACATTTATATACAGATAATATTCAGCGTTTTTTTCTGTACAGCTTAAACATAGGTATAATAGCATCATACTGTCCTTATGTTGCATTAACTCTTGCTTTTATATGTTTCATTTTCACTGCTGGTATAGTATTTATTCTATCCTCAGCACCTTGAGTTATCCATCCAGTCCCCTGCTGAGGGACACACAGCTTGTGCCCAACTTTCCGTTATCACAAACTTTTGTAGGTGCCTCTTGGCACATCCGGAGGGAGTGTGGATTTGGCCAGAGGTCAGCAAACTGCCACCCATGACCTAGTCCAACCTGCTGCCTGTTATAAAGTTTTATTGGCACATGGCCGTGCCCGCTCTGTTGTGTATCTTCTGTGACTGCTTTCACACTGCAAGGGCAAAGCTGAGCAGCTGCAGCAGAGACCTTGTGGCCTGTCAAACCTGAAATGTTCACACACGCACATGCATACATGCTCTTTACAGGAAAATTCTATGCTGTTCTTCTCTTTCATAGTGGAAAAGCTTTGGCTCCTACCAGACAGCAAAACAGATCTATTTTGCAGTGGACACACACTGGTGGCTTCTTTTGATGTTTCAATCTCAGTACTGAGAGTTACTAATGACCCTAAACACCCTTGACCTACAAAAGGCCCAGACCAATTGAGCAGGAGCGCTGGGTAGAGTGTTAAAAGAAATGTGGTTCCGAGGGGCTGTGCAAGCTTCACTATTGGCTCAAGTCACATGGGCAACCTAAATCCATGCCTGGTGCCTGCCCAGGAAGAGGGAAGCAACCATGATGCTTTGCAGCTGGGTCCCAAGACAGATGCCAGCCTGTAGCCGGGCTGGGCAGGTGGGCCGTGGGCCAGCTTACCTGTGTGGCTTTAAAGTGAGAAATTGGGTATATTGCCCAGCATTCCACAAACATCATTTCTTTTCTATTTTCTAGCTTTTTATTTTGATCCAATTTCAGATTTACAGAAGTGTTCTAGGAATAGTACACAGAACTTCCTAAACCCTTCATATATTCTGTAAACGTTAACATTTTACCACCTTTGTTTTACCTATTTCTTTGTCTCTCTTTCTTTCTGTCTCCTCTCTTTGTCTCTCTCTCCACCCCCTTCACTCCTAAATATGCCAAAGTATATCTCCTCCCTCCTCATAGAACAATCACCCAGATCAGACAATTGACACCAGTACAATCGTGTTAACAAATTACAGACCTTACTCAATGTTGGCCCTTGTCCCCAACAGCATCCTCACAGTAAAGAACGTTCCAGATCATGCACTGCACCCAGAGCTCTGCCTCTCTAGCTGCCTTTACCCTGGAATGGTTCCCTGTCTTCATGTCTTACGGTCATGGCGTTTGTTATGAGTCCTGGCCAGGCTTTCTGGGATGCCCATAACTTTGGGTTTCCTAGCGTTTCCACAGGATTGGGTTCAGCTTGCATTTGGGGGTGGGGTGGGCATATCACAGAATGAAGTGAAAGCAGGGATGGTTTGTCCTCGGTGCACATTCCTGGGGTGTGAGTCCTGGTTATGTGGATAATGGGTTGTCCCCTGGCTCTCTCCTCTGGTGATTAATAAGCAAATTGTGGGCAGATACTTTGAGATGGTGCAAATACTTTGTTACTCCTCAAATGTCACCCTCTAGTTTTTCACACACCCCTGATGATTCCTGCCCAAATCCGTGATCACTTGGGTGGTCACCACGTGGGGATTTCCCTCATTCTGTCCCTCCCTGTACATTTATTCATTGGGATTACACGCTTGCTTTTATTTCTAATTTACAGAAGACAAAAGGGAAATTCAGACAGGTAAACTATCTTGCCTTGAGGTTTTGTGGCAAAAGGGAGGCAGAAGTGCCATTCACAGTTTTTTGTTAAAAAAAAAAAAGAAAGAAGAGAAAAGGCTTTGTTGAGATATATTCAAATACCATGAAATTAACCCTTTTAGGTGTACCACTCAGTGGTTTTTAGGATATTCATAGATTTGTGCAACTGTCACCTCTGTTTAGTTCCAGAACATTCCATTACTCCAGAAAGAAGCCCTGTCCCCATTAGCAGTCACTCCCCATCTGCCTCCCCAGCTCCTGGCACCCACTGACCCACTTCCTGTCTCTGTGGATTTGCCTGTTCTGGACATTTCATATGAATGGAATCGTACAATATATGAACCCATGCAGTTTTGATTGCAAGTTACAGGAACACACTGGGGCTGGCTTGTTCAGAAATGAGAAGGTGTTTCTTTCTCCCCCTAACTTTGGAAACAAACCAACCGAACACTCCCAAGTTCAATATGATGTACACACAGCCCCACGGTGGGTGAGGCGTCGACTCCTCTCTTCCCAGGGAAAAAAATTCATTGGCCCTTCAGGGCAAGTGTCCACTCCTGGTCTCAGGGGCTGTGACCAGAGGGGCAGAGCCACATCAAAGGAGGGATGGAGGGAGAAGTGGCCATGACCCCTTCGGGGGGGGGGCGCGTGGACTGGATCTCCTCTCTTTCCATCCCCCTCCCTCCCTTCCTTTCCCCCACCCCCAGGCTGGCTTAGGGGTGGCCAAGCTGTGCCTCAGAACTCACACCTCCACACCCTGTCCAAGGAGTGGAGTTTGTTGAGAGAGGGGCTGGTGAGAGGTTGGCCCAATGAGGAATCCTTTCCCATCCCTGAAGCCAAATGGTGGGGCTGGGGACCTGGGAGAATCTGGGCAAAGGTTATGGTTCCTGCAGGAGGGCCAATGAGCACCTCCTTCCCAGTGGAGGGGAGGCCGTTGAATTGGGGGTGTGGCGACTGGAGGCCTCTGCTTTCTTTCCATAGATGTGTGAAGACAGGAGGCTTCTGGGACTGGTAGGGACTTCGATGCAGTGTTCCCAGAAGACACATCCCAATCCCCTAGGCCCTGGTGGGGTGGGGGTGCTTCAACCCCTGGGAATGTGCTAGAAGAGTTGTAGGCAGCCTGGGCAGTGAGGGACTTGGGGGCACAGAGGGAGCAAGGTCAAGGGGCATCAGGGTTGAGGGAACAGGGTGAGGCTGACCATCACTCAGGAAGACACTCAGGCTGGCTGTGCAGAGACCACCAAAGGGCAGAGGCCCTGGCACAAGGCAGCTCCAGGCTGGGCCCCTTCCCACTGACCCTGCCCCCCAGATGACCCTGACCTCCACTGATCCTGCCACCTCCCCCACGAGCAGAAAGCCTGGGTGTTGGCAGAGGGAAACAGGGGTTGGGAGGACCCAGAAAGGACCAGGAACCATTTTTCCTCGCGGTGGAGCTCAACCCTTTTCACACCCACAACCTAGGAAATAACAGTCTTGCTGTGAAAAGTTGGGACTGGAACACAGCAGACATCTCTCCAGACCTTTGCTGCCATCCCCTGGAGGCTTCTGAGAAAATGCAGAGTCCAGGTTCGAGTACTTGGACCTGCCGGATCAGGCTCTGCATTCTTAGCATGGTGCCCAGGGGGACCCTGCCCCTGTCCCCAAACCCAGCCCCTCTGATGAGGTAAGCCCCTTACCTGTCACATCAGCAGTTGTTATCCGAGGTGGTTCTGCCCCTCAAGGGATACTGGGCTATGTCTGGGGACATCCGTGGTTGTCACAACTGAAGGTGCTCCTGGCACCTAGTGGGTGAAACCAGGGATGCTCCTCAAAGTCCACAGTGCCCAGGATGCCCCCACAGAGAACAATATGACCCCCAAAATGTCCAGTTTTTCTTTAAGATACATTTATGTAAGTCTATATAAATATTTTGAGAAACTCTATTCTGGGAGATGAACACTGAACAAATGCAAAGGCCCTGGGACAGGTGAATGAGGAACTGGGTCCAGAGAGCCAAACAACTTTTGACCCGGCTCCCCCCACAGACTCTGCTCTCACTCTCACTGCTTCTTCAGTAACATCTCAAACTGTGGGCCTTCTGCATTAATGCTGATGTGACCAGGTTTCCTCCAGCTAATAATAAGTCAGAGAATCGGCCTCCTGGGCTCCAAATGCTTTCAGGCATACCGCCTCGCTTTTCTCTACCATGACCCATTCCCCGGTACTGCTGAGTTGTGTCATCTGGGTCAGGGAATAAACTCCAGAGAGGAGTATTGTTCAGGAGGTAGGATGCTGAATTTAAGTTCCTGGAGGTCACACTTGAGCTAGACTGGGCTCCTCCCTGCCTCTTCCCCGCAGTTTGTTTTGGGTGGAAGAAAGAGGCTGTGGAAATCCATCTTTGGCTTACAGGAGGGATGGTAGTTTTTTATTTTTATTCTTTTTAACGACTCTCAAGCACATCAAAAGCCCACAAGCCTTCAAGCATCCTGATTGGGTCTCCATGGAGACGGAGCCTGTCTCCAGCTCAGCTCCATCAGCTAAGCCTGGGGCCCCTAGCTGAAAACCAGGGACCAAGGGTGGAGCGCTGTTGGGAGGCCATGACCCCATACCCTGGCTCTGCTCCTCACCTAACCTTGATACCCTGCCCCTGTTTGAGGGTGGACAGGTGGCTGCCTATAACAGTCATAACAATAGACATTTATTGAGCGCTAAGGATGTCCCAGGCACTATGCTAAGCCTCACCTATTAAATGCTCACTGAATCAATGCCAAGAGCTTCACCCTATTCACTCTTTAGTCTCACTTGACAAATAAGGAAACTGAGGCTTGGTTGTCTAAAGTGGAAGGTGTTGCCTTGGGGAAGACAGTGTGCAATGCTGGGAAGTGTGTGGGCTCCAGAGTCAGGCTGGCTGAGTTAAAATCCCAGAATTCTCACCGTGTGACCTTGCACAGGTGACTGGACTTTCCTGGGCCTCAGTTTGCCCCTATGTTAAATGGGTATAGGAACAGACATCTCTTAATGGTTGCTATGAGGAATGGGCAAGGACCAGGGTGAGCTTATCTGGGGAGTCAAGTTTAAGGGGGCATAAAAAAACTCAGTCATCAAGATAAAGAATATTTTACTACAGGGGCAGCTGGTTAGCTCAGTTGGTTAGAGCACAGGCTCTTAACATCAAGGTTGCTGGTTCGATCCCCACGTGGGCCACTGAGTTGCACCCTCCACAACTAGATTGAAACAACTACTTGACTTGGAGCTGATGGGTCCTGGAAAGACACACTGTTCCCCAATTAAAAAAATAAGAATATTTTAATGCAATATTTTTTTAAATTAAAATTAATGCCAAAAAATCCAGGATGAATAAAATGTTAACATTTTAAACAGAATTCAGTATTACTGAATTTTCCTTTGGCCAACACAGCATTGTTATTGATCCTGTCTTTGTTTTAAAATAAAGAAATAAATTACAATAGAAATTAAAATAAAGTCAGGATGGGTTGCCTGCCCCCCAATTGCTGTGTGGCACTCTCCCTGCTATAGACTCCTCGCTGTTCCTCCAGCCTGTCAGGACACTTCCTGCCTTTGCATTTGCTGCTCCATTCTCATCAGCTCAAAGGTCACTCTGTAAGCAGCCTTCCCTGAATTTTCCTCCTGAAGCCTTCCCTCCACTCACCTAGCTCTATTTCCTTCATTGCATTTATCATAGTCTAAAAGCATCTTGTTTATTTATGTGTAACCACCCCAGGGGTTTGTTGTGTGGATTGAATGAGTTTGTACATGTCAAGCAGTTAGCACAGATCCTGGTGCCTGGAAAGAGCTTTATGTGCTTTATCAGTAATCAAGTAAATATACAGCATATTATAATTAAATTAAAATGGGTATAAATGCTATGGAGGAAAGAGAAAGCCTGAGAAAGGAGGTAATAATGGTGGCTGAACGATTTTAGATAAGGTGGACAGAGAAAGTGATGGGGGTTGAAGAGTGAGCTATGCACCATTTGAGGGAAGGACATTCTGAGTAGAGGGCACAACCTATGCAAAGGCCCTGAGGCAGGACCATGCCTGGCATGTTGGAGGAACAGCAAGGAGGCCCACGTGGCTGGAGCAGAGTCAGCGAGGGAGAGATAGGGAGGAGGCGAGGGCAGGTGGTGGAGGATCTTGGGAACTGAACAGAGGACACAGCTTTAATGTTAGGAAATTTTCAGAGAGTTTTAAGCAGAGGCGATATGATGCTCATAGAGTGGTTGACCCAAATGCGTCAGTATCCTTTGAAATATTTTAAACAGTGTGTGCACATAGCAAGTGTTATTGGTTGCTGTTGATATAACACAATGATCGCTATTTCTATTCTGTAAGTTGCAAACTTAAAAGTGCTGAGCATAGTGCCTGGCATATAGTATTACCAAAGTGTTCTTTCTTGTTGCTATTTTTACATTTATTATTATTATTATTATTATTATTATTGATGAGCTATATACTTAAAAGTGCCAAGGGCAGCCCAGTGAATGCGCACTAAGCATCCTGTAGAACTGGGCACTACTTTTTGTTGCTTTTCCTGTTGTATCAGTGGGAGGAGCCAGGGCCACCTGGAAGCCAGGTCTGTCCTGCCCGAAGCTCCGCTGTCACTCACCCAGAAGGCGGGGGTTGCGTACCCGCTGGCTTCAGTTTTCCTGCCTGGACTGGACGTCAGGACGCGGATGTGGATTGAGGGGTGAGGGATGCAGGATGCGCGCGGGAGGTGGGAGGCGGGAGGCGGGATTGCGACGCGCGCACCAGCCGCCAGGGGCCGCTGCGGAGCCGCCCTTTTGTGGTCCTGATGCTGGAACGAGCGGGCGCACTCAGGAGGGAGGAGGGCGCGAGGACGGGGCGGGCGGGAGGCGGCGTTCGTCGCTCCAGCTGCGAGTCCGCCCGCCGCCCGCCGCCGCCGGCTCGGTCCCTCGCCCGCCGCCCGCCGCCCGCCTTCGCCCGCCATGGCCCGCCTAACGGAGAGCGAGGCGCGCCGGCAGCAGCAGCAGCTCCTGCAGCCGCGTCCCTCGCCTGTGGGCAGCAGCGGGCCCGAGCCCCCTGGGGGGCAGCCCGACGGCATGAAGGACCTGGACGCCATCAAGCTCTTCGTGGGCCAGATCCCACGCAACCTGGACGAGAAGGACCTTAAGCCGCTCTTCGAGCAGTTCGGCCGCATCTATGAGCTCACGGTGCTCAAAGACCCCTACACGGGCATGCACAAAGGTGGGCGCCCCGGCCCCCTCTCTCCCCTCCCCTTTCCTCCTTACCCCACCTTCCGACATCTTCTCTCCCCCAACCCTCTCCTCACCTCCTCCCACTGCTTGCCTCTGCCACG